TAGGAATTATGCATTAGTCTTAATTCCTAGAAAACCAAATCTCCATATATTTTCGTTTTTTCCGAGTAAATTACAAAACTCCCATCATTTGAAAAATTTACTGTTATGTTTTATGTGTCTTTTTTTTTTTTTGGTTGAAAACTCTGAATTCTCAAGTCACATAAATGTCCACACTTGGAAGGGAAATTCTTCATCTTGCTTACGAGAGTAATGCCTCTTGCTTCAGAAATACCTCATAATTCTCATAATTCTAAACTATCCCTGAAATTTTCCCTTTAACCACAATGATCCTTATGATTCTTCTCATGGAGGTCTCTCAATATAAATTTACAAATTCTTCAAGGGGTTTTATTGAATGAAATATTTTTCTTTTCTAATTTGAGAAATGAGAATTTAGGCAGAGAACAATAGGAAGGATACCCTAAAGGAAAACTTTGCTTATAGCCTTCATCTTTAGTCTTTCCCACAACATAAAGCAAACTCTATGCATTGCCCTTAAAAACAAACCAAAACCAAACTTCCTCTCATCATTCATTTACATGTTCTTGTGAAAAGCCTCTTTTGAGATTTGGTGGTTAGGCAAATAACAAGAACCACTAAACTACTCACCCATGACTAACACCAAATCTTCTCTAATCCAAATTCTCACCCTTTCCATCTTCTGTTTCACCATTTCACATTCCATTGACTTCAATTACCCTACTGTGTTTAACTTCGGTGACTCGAATTCCGACACTGGCGAGCTGGTTGCCGGGCTAGGAATCATGCTTGACCCTCCTTATGGCCAGACTTACTTCAGAACTCCCTCAGGGAGGTACTGTGACGGCCGCCTCCTTGTAGATTTCCTAAGTATGTCCTCTCCCTTCTATCTGCCCAACTTTATCATACATTTAGAAAATTTTAAATTAAGTAGCTATTTTTTTTTCTTTTGGCTGTAATAATAGATGATTTTCAAAAAATTGGTTCTTATTTTATGTCTTCTCCCATCAAATTCTTGTCTATTTTTCCTTGCTCGTATATCCGTCCAAACTCTAATGCGTAACTAAATAAAATGACACTTTTGTTTTTCTCTCCTATTGTCTGCTCATGATTGAAGAAAACTTCTATTCTACGCAAAAAACCCACCAAACGAGAAAATTATAGGCTTATATTAATATATGGTTGGTAACTACCATAAAAATGTTAGTGACAGGCCTACTGTTGAGCCTTCCCTGCTCCAACCATGGCTCCCAAGATCTGTCTCCTCCAAATTCTTGCCTTCATTTCCATCTCATTTCCACTATCCAGTTCCATTCAATTCGATTTCCCTGCCGTCTTCAACTTCGGTGATTCGAATTCTGACACTGGTGAGCTAATTGCTGCCGGAATTGAAAGCCTCCAGTCTCCTCATGGGCAAAGTTATTTTGGAGGACCATCAGGCAGATACTGTGATGGCCGTCTCATCATAGATTTTCTCAGTAAAATACCCAACTCAAGTTTAAAGCTTAGAATGCATTTATATTTCTGTTTGCATAAGATGCCCTGTTATTCCCCTGTTTCCTCTGTTTCCCACTTCTTCAAGCCTTTTAACAGATTTCTGTGATTTTTTGTTTTTCAGTGGATGCAATGGATCTACCATTTCTAAATGCATATCTGGATTCAATTGGCTTACCAAGTTTCCAGAAAGGGTGCAATTTTGCTGCTGCAGGGTCAAAAATACTTCCAGCAACTGCAGATTCTGTCAGTCCATTTTCGATAGGGGTTCAGGTGGCTCAGTTTCTACGATTCAAATCTCGAGTTCTTGAATTGCAATCCAAAGGTATGTCTATAGTGCAGATCGTCAGAAATGATTTCTTACAAGCATAGTTAAAACGAATATAATTCTAAATGCTTTTACAGGAAAGAAATATGACAAGTACATCCCGGCTGAGGATTATTTTGAGAAGGGATTATACATGTTCGACATCGGCCAGAATGATCTTGCTGGTGGATTTTATTCCAACACATTTGACCAAGTAGTTGGCCTAATTCCAATAATTTTGGCAGAATTTGAAGGTGGAATAAAGGTAAGCTTCAGGGACAGAATTGTAGTATTTTGCTCCTCATGCTGCCCTGTTTTTATCTTCACCATAGCTTAATGATAATGGTTCTTGCCCTGCTCTGCTCTGCAGACACTTCATGACCAAGGGGCTAGGAATTTTTGGATACATAACACAGGACCTCTGGGATGCTTGGCTCAGAATGTTGCAAAGTTTGGGACTGATCCATCCAAGCTCGATGATCAAGGGTGTGTGAGTACACATAATGAGGCTGCTAAACTTTTCAACCTGCAGCTTCATGCCCTCTGCAAAAAATTGCAGGGCCAGTACACAGATTCAAATATCACATATGTAGATATCTTCACAATAAAATCCAACCTCATAGCAAGTTATTCTAGATATGGTATGCTTCTGCACTACTTTCTGCAATTAAAAAGAGATGATAATAAGAATAGCGCAGAAATGACTTTGAATGCATGAAAAATTGCAGGATTTGAGCAACCTATAATGGCCTGTTGTGGCTATGGAGGTCCACCACTGAATTATGACAACCGGATTGCCTGTGGGAAAACAAAGGACCTGAATGGAACCTCTGTGACAGCCAAAGCATGCAGTGATAGTTCTGAATATGTGAACTGGGATGGAATTCATTACACAGAGGCTGCAAATCAGTATGTTGCATCACAAATACTAACTGGAAAGTACTCTGATCCACCTTTCTCAGACAAAATGCCTTTCCTTCTCAAACTCAAGTTCTAAAAACCTTATATGCCAGCCACTCATTTTATTTGACTTACTTTTACCTCATTTCTTGACTTGTAGCAACAATTGAAAGTATTATAAATCAAAACTAAGAATTCAAAGTGCTATTATTTGTGATTGGAAGCCGGTATTACAAAGATTTCACCTTTTCAGTTTGCTACTCCTGTTGGCGGACATAACCCATAGGGAGTTAGGCAAATGGTAAAGAGTGATTTGAACCACCTAAAAACAAGGGTTCAAATCCCTCTATTAGCCATTTTGGTAGGGGAAAAAAAAAAGGCAATTTCAGCAGGCCAAAATCTTAGATACTCATGATATCCACCAAAAATTTGTTGGTGGACATGAGCTGCAGGAAGTCCCATTCTTCTGATAAGCTGGGATTTCATTTCACACAAACGCAGGTGCTTCCTGTGTTTACATTTCTAGCATGGTAAGACTAGAAACTAAAATCACAAATGGATTCTGCAGAACAAAGGTGCAACTTCTAAAGGTACACCAATTGAAATTTGATAAACATAAAAGTTCTCTGCATAGTTTGAGTTTGCATGATTGCAGTTCTTGATGTGGTAATATTTAAGGAAAAAAGTGATGTTTGGCTAGAAAGTTTAAGATGAAGAACAATGAAAGCAGCTAGATAATGTAGAGTATGATCTACCAGAAGAAAGAAAGATTATTTTTATACATGATTAGATACAATCTAAGCATGCTTAAATTCCCTGTAATGGCCTGCAGCCCCTGGAAGAAAAGAAACAAGGGCAAAGACCTGAAATATTGCATAACTTCCTTCTATACCTCTTACTTTGGGAGTTCTTTGTCACTTGAGCTGAACATAAAAAAATGCTGTAAAGCATACATACCAAACAGGTTTTCTGATATAGAGGCATCTAGAATATTTTCTCCAACATCTTGAATGAATGCAGTTCCATCAGTGATTGCTCCTTCCTTTTGAATGGTGAGAAGCACACCAAAACCCTTATTATTTCCCTCTTCAATTTTGGGTGCCAATGCTCCAAAACTTGGTCAGCATACTCAAAAGCATTGACTATTTGGCTTTGCCCTGCAATCACTTGACATTAACATTCAGTACCAAAAATCACAGAAAATGGTTGATTGAATTCTTGAATTTTGTTCCTCGATCATAATGAAGAGAATCCTACATTCTAGTTGAAGTTAGCATTGTTATGCTAGCTTCTAAAAGCAAGAAGAGGATCCTACTTTATCTTTTTAGATAAATTACCTACACAAACTGTTGGCTAAAAAATGTTGTGCAAACTTTGTTTTGATCTCTTTACATTCCTAATTCATCATATTTCTCAACAAAAATCAGGAAGAAAGTAAATGACTAAATGAATTCCTTCTTAC